TCAGCCTCAAATTTAAAAATAAAACTATATAAAAATAAGTGAAACCTTTTCTCAGTGATTCATAGCTTTTAAAAGATAACAAGATTGAGATACTGCTGACTTCTTACAAAGTATGAGTGCTATAATGAATGTTACTATCAAGAAAAAGCTGAGTACAAGTGAGGTACTAGTGGCTCCTGTCTATCATTCTAGCTACTTGGAAGGCCAAAAATCTGAATGACTGTGATGCAAGACCTGCCTGTGCAGAAAAGTTTGCTAGACCCTATCCCCAAAACAAACACCAAGAAACAGGGCTGGATGTATGGATCAAGTGGTAGAGTGCCAGTGTAGCTAGCATGCAGCATGCTCTGAGTTCAAATCCTAGTGCCACACACACACACACACACACACACACTACACAATATTTATATTTACGATTCAACATTGGCCATATGGGTCAGAAATTGAAGGGACCATTTGAAGAAAGTTGACAAATCTCTTTCACATGATCCCTTTATTTCTGCCATTTTTTCTTACATACTTTTAGTAGGAAAGGCAATATGTGTGTCAAATTTTCATTCCTTTATTTAAACTATTCCTATCTTACCCAGGAAATTAGATTTATGTTATAGAAACCTTACTGCACAAAATATTTATGAATCCAGGATATAAGACTTTCTCCATTGTCAAATGAAAAGAATTTTTGTTTGAAAATACACTCCAAAGGAAGGAAGAAAAACCCTCAGTAAAATGAAATCTATCTCAAAAATAACCAAATGATCAAAGACTTATTCTTATTTACTCATGAGAAAAGTATATTCATGTGCATCTGCTATAAAAACCAAACAAATGATTCCTTCAGGACAAACCTCTCTTTATATTAACTCTGCAATGTGGTGGGGGGGGAAGAAGACAAAAGCCAAAATAGCATATTCATTAGAGACTAGATGTTTGGAGATTCACTTCAAGGGCTGAAGTAGAGAATGAAATAGACTATTCAATTCCCAGGTCTTAGCATATAGTGTTGGCAATGGAGTGGATAAAAGCCATCTCATGTCAAGGAAAGTGAGTGTTGGAAGGTCAGGAGGGCAGATAAGAAACAGCAGAGAGGCATAGATGGGGAAAGCCAGGCCAGGGGCAAAAACTCAGGGCAGATGTCTGATGGCAGACAGAAGCCAGAAGTGGAGGTATGGTACGGTGCTAACCTTGAGCAAAAAAAAAAAAAGTTAAGGAAAGCACCCAGGCCCTGAGATCAAGTCCCAGTACTAGTACCAAAACAAATAATAAAATAAAGTAAAAAGTCACAGAAAGGAGAATGAGCTTCAAGTCAACTTCTAAGAAATAGAGCTGGAGACTGAACCTGAGTCATTAAAGTTCAACAGGCCGCTGGAGAGCTTGCAGTGCATGTTGGGATTGGTTTTTTGAGATTGGTTGTTTTTGGTTTTTTTATAGCTTGTACTGTCTTTTACTAATGTTCCTGAAAGAGCATCACCTTCCCTCATCTCACCTTTAAAAGCTTCTGCTGACCTTAGTGAGGAGCCCTCTCCATGGGAGTGCAGGTGAAAGCTGTACTTATGGCCACAGGAGTCAGTGTAGGGTGGGGTGGTGACGTGCCTGCGAGGAGTCCCTGGCTGTGGTAACTGAGAAAACAGGAAATGCAGAGCAGTAGGTGGCAGAGACATGCTATTTCCAGGGCAGGTCTTTTCTAGGTAGAGCCTCAGTGTGTCACCTTATTTCTATATCAAAAGAAAATGCAATTAGGGCAGTCAACTGTGTTATACCGTACTCTTGATGGCTATTACAGGGCTTTGTCGGTCATTCAGGAGTCAGAATCCAATTCAAGAAGTTTTAGTGACTTTACAGATCTGGGCACGGGGACTAGAAACAAAAGGAGAGGATACAGCACTTAGAGAATAGCAATGGAAGAAAGTCAATGCTGGCCCCAGGACAAGAGAAATAGAGTCACAGAGAGGTCTGCAATCGTGTGGCTACCCACTATCTGTACTGTAGTCTAAGAAGGATGAAATCTCTGCTAGAAATCAAACTCCAACCAAGAAATAACCCAATAGCTTAACTCCCTCTCTTCCCCTCTGTCTCTCTGTCTCTCTCTTCTCTCTTCCCCATTCCCCCCCCCCTTGCTCTTTATTCTCTTGCCATTGATTTTCATTTGTTAGGTTTCAGTGTGAAGCCAGACACTCAAGTCAGTTTCTCCTAGATCACAGACAGAAGAGAGCAGAATATGAATGTGGATAGGATGAGTACTCTATACAACCCCACTGATGCACTGTAGTATTTCTGGGACACATAGTTAATTCATGCCTAGGAATAAACTCCTCTGACCATATACATAGCCCTATTCCCATTTAGGCATTTCAATAAGTTGAGAAAGATGGTGATGGTAGAAAATCTAGTTTTTTGTTTTTTTTTTAAAAAAGTACCATTTGTAATCTCAGCTTCTCAAGAGTCTGAGATCTAAGAATCATGGTTTGAAGCCTACTGGGACAGAAAAGTCCATGAGCTTCTTAGCTCCAATTAACCGGAAAAAAAAAATCAGAAGTGAAGCTGTGGCTCAAGGGGTACAATGCCAGTTTTGAGTGGAAAGGTAAGCGAAAGTGTCCATGTTCTGAGTACAAGCTCCAGTACCAATGCACATGTACACACACACACATACACACACACACACACACACACACACACCACATTCATAAGTCCCAGAACTCACATGTGTTGTGCATTACTTGACAAAACACAGAAGCCATCAGCTAGAGCAAGCAGAAAATATTTGCTAAGGAGTCATCTGCTAATTTTTCTAACTACTCACTTAATTTTAATACTAGGAAATATATTCCTGTTACAGTAGCTGTTCACAGATAATTCTGAACTTACTGCTGCCTAGAAAAAAAAAAAGGTTCTTTGACATTGAAAATTGGATAAATGGCTACAGAAACAGAATGGCTTTACCACTATCTTTCAGACTCCTTTATATAAAATAATTGTTTTTACAAAATGTAAAAGCCTAGAAAGTATAGGAACATCCAGGGAACTCAATAAGATTTAGCATCTTTAAATGGTGACAATATGAAATGGTTTTGCTTTTAATGTGGGTCATTTAAAAGTTAGCTCTTTGCTAGCCTTGAGCAAAAAACAAACAAAGAAACAAAACACCCAGGCCCTGAGTTCCAGGCCAATGACCAGAAAGAAAACAAAATTTAAGCAAGCTTTTGATTCCTTAGACAAGGCTAGTTATTCCTTATTCCTGAGTTTCCCTTATTGTCTGAGCCAGTGCTGGATTCACTTAGCATTTGACTAGTAGATCCTTACAAAGGGCTTTAGACATGCTATAGTAACATAGATCCTTTGCTCATTCTGTTCTTGCTTTTTGTGGTTGAGCCAATTTCTTTCTTCATATAGTTTTGTTAGCATCTAAGTTCAGGTCTTTAAGTTCCTTGTCTCCATCTGACAAGGAAGTGAAGGAAAGGACATAAGAAGGTAGGGGAAGAAGTTGAGCACTTTATTACAGGAGCACAGCTAGTTGAGGCGAAAGTAATCTTCCTCCAAAGAAGGGTTCCACCATCAGAGCACTACAAGTTAGGAAACACTGGAATAAAAGCAAAGTTTAGTTGAAACTAAGAGTAAGACACCAGGGGAATCTGGAGAAAAGCCCCTTAGCTATTGGTGGGTTGGTATAAGCCCCAAACAGACTCTGGACTGGGAGGGCCGCCTTATACCATATGAAGTCTTATCTGCCTGTTTCCAGGCAAGGAAGAGGTGGAGAGTGGAAGAAGAGGGAAGAGGGGGAGGAGAGGAGAAGGGAGAGAGGGGGAGGAGAGTATATACATCTTGGTTTAAGAGAGCCAGAAATGTACCCCAGACATCAGTAGCATCTCTGTAGGCTTGTGGGGTCCCTCTGTTATAGTCCTTCCTGTGAGTCTCAGCTGCTCTGGCATCTGGTTGTCACCCCCAAGGAGAGAGGGTGTCTGTCCCCAGCATGGATGCATTCCAGAGTGGCCAACATCTTTACATTCTCAGAGCGGTTATGGACATTCCCAGATTAGGGGGTGTGGGCGTTACTGGGTTGGCAAAGTGTGTGTGTGTCTGGGGCTTGAATTTGGAGCCTGGGCACTGTCTCTGCACCTTTTTTTTTTTGTTCAAAGCTAGCAACCCACCGTTTGAGCCACAGTTCCACTTCTTTCCAAGGTCTTTTGAAAGAAGAGAGGAATGCACGGGCCATCTCTGCTTTCCTCAGGGACTCTCTCTCTCTCTCTCTCTCTCTCTCTGTCTCTCTGTCTCTGTCTCTGTCTCTGTCTCTCTCTCTCTCTCTCTCTCTCTCCCCCCCCCAGTACCTACACAGTTCTAAAACTCCCTCCATTCCATAGAAACCCAATACATCGTGTTCATAAGATTCCCCCCCTCATTAAAAATGATACTAGCTTTTCTTCTTGATTAAATGCAGGGTAGAGACTTTTACTACCTTTTTCTCTGAAAATGGCTTTCTTTTATTGAGCTGATGATGAAATATCACAAAATAATGCTTCCGTGACCACAAGGGATTTTTATACATATCTTATACTATTAAAAGAGTATCAACTTTTATATTATAAACACCATATATAGAAGACATAGTATCTATTATGTGTATGAGTAAGCATGTAATCTATTTATATTATATATATATATATATATATATATATATATGAAATACTTGCATAAAGGGAGAAAGGAATTTCCTGAACTAAAACCTACTTCTCTTTGGCAGATGGTAAGGATGGAAGAAGAAAGGATGGAGAGAGTATTAACGGTGCCTCAGGCTCAGTTCAAGAATCATGCCAGCTGTGAAAACCATACCATATATCCATCGTGCCAAGTATTAAAATTGTCAAAAAAAGTCAATTGAACAAAAGAGGTAAGTCATGGCTATGGTAGACAGTCAGGAAACAGAAGTGCTGTTTTCCATGGGAGCCTTTGTTGTTACTTTTCTAACACTTCAGTGGTTGAAAGGAAATCAAACTGAGAGAACTTACTGCCACTCCAGTGAGCCTTGGGGGCTTTGTCACAAATTTGGAACCTTAGTGGCCTCAAGCTTCACAGTTCTGGTCTTCAGAAGTGACAGAAATCAAAGGGACCAACAGAGAAAGTAGAGCATTAGTTACACAGAACTGAACAACCAACATATTTTCAGCTGTGTGGCAAACTTCAAGCCACCGTTTTAGTTTTACATTAGGCCAAATGACCAAATAATTTCCTCAAAAACATGTGCTATACTTAAGAGGATCTAACAATAGCCATTACTTCGTGGCTATTCACAGATAATTCTGAACTTACCCTTGCCTAAGAGAAAGTTTCTTAAACACTGAAAATTGGATAAATGACCACAAAATAGAGTAGCTTTGGAACTCCTTTTAAGCTGTTTATTTATAGAGTGCCATTTTATAAAAAGGAAAAAGAAAGAAAGAAAAACCTAGGATGGACAGAAACATTCAAGGCACTAAGCTCTCCCTAACATAGATGGACTATTGTAGAAATCATTCATATACCATGGAGGGAACTCAAATTACATGAAACCCTCTGTTCCCTGAGTTCTGATCTCCAGGAAAAAACAAAAATACTTTTACTATTTGTCTGAACACATGTTTTTAGGCAAGTGTTTAAATGTATTATTAAGCCCTACTTCTTTTTGTGCCAATAGGCAAGTGTTTAAATGTATTCTTGAGCCCTACTTCTTTTTGTGCCAATGTTAGGATTTGAAATCAAGACCTGGGCCCTGTCCCTGAGGGTTTCCCCCAAAGGCTGGTGTTCCCACACTTGAGACACATCTCAACTTTCGGCTTTTCACTAGTTAATGGGAGATAAGAGTCTCAAGGACGTTTCTGCATGGGCTGGCTTTTGAATAGGAGCCTCCTGAGGAGCTAGGATTATAGGTGGGAGCAGCAGAGCATAGCTTCACACTTTTAGTTAGCAAGTTAAAATCTGTTTTTAACTGAGGTCCAGGGATTACAATCACCTGGAATGTTTCACCAAAATACAAATTCCTAGGCTCCATGCATGAATAATTCACACACCACATGTGTTAAGATCTAAAGGCTACTGCTGTAAAGAATATGAACTTTAGAATGCATATTCCAAAGATTTTGGTCTCTTTAGTAAATTTTCAGGAAAACAAAAGAGGACTTGATGGAAGAGTGTTTCATGTAATTTTACTATGTATAAACATTAATATCAATCCACCAGAGGGAGGACATAATTTCAATTTTATGTTTTGCTATCCCATCCAACTTTCACTTTCTGGTTAAAAACTTTATAGAATCGTTTTGTACATAATATAATTATATATAATTTATAATTATAATAATGTAAGTTTGTAATTATATACCATAAGTATAAACGTTTGTATAATCTTGTATTTTCTACTTCTCCAGGCATGCAAAGAATGTAAGCAAAGAAAATCTAAGCTTGAAGATCAATTACCATTTTGGCTGATTCTTCAGTTTTTTAAAATGCTCTCACACTTCCAAATTCCATAATATTATATATTAAACTAGAAATAAATCTTAATATCAAGGGATGAATTTTTATGGATGCCTATTTATTTTTATTAGTGTATATAATTGCATAAAATAATGAGATCCATTATGACATTTTTATGCATGTACATAATGTACTTCGGTCAGATTTGCCCTGGTTACTCTCTCTGTCCCCTTCCCTCCTCACTGGATGGACTCTTACTCAAATACTTGGTTGCTACAAATGCAAATTACACAAGCTCTAAAGAATTTCTATTCATTTGGTAGGAGGATAAAATGAAAGAGATACTATTGTAGAAAAAAATCATACAAAATACGGAGGAGGAGGGGCTAGAATGAGTCCTATAGGAAGATGAAATTTGGTCTTTAAAATGAACAGGAACTAAATCCCCCAGGGGACTTTTGGTATGCACAGCAATTTGCAATTTCATGGAGTCCACCATTGGAGAAAACTAACAAATGCATAGCTCGCACGCATAAAAAACACTCCTGTACTGGGGATGCCTGATTCATTTTTACCATAATGCCACCTAAATTCCACTAAACACTGCCTTTCAACAAATCAAAAGTGTTCACTTCATCACTGAAATTGAATACATTTGCCTTTACCTTGCTTTTTAACCCCGTTGGCTTTTTGCAATACAGATATTTTCTTACAAAATTAAGGGAAGGGAAACCGTCTTCAGATCACACAGTGATTTAAACACAACTGATTATAACACAAGACTGACATATCTACAGATCGGCAGAATGCATATGCATGAATTCAAAGAGTTTGTTGTTGTTTCTAAGCTTCCTTTTATTTTCTAAGTTTAGGTTTTATTTATGGGCCACACTCCACACTTGATTGAAATTGCAACCAATAAATAAGACAGACTTTCTGTATACATAACAACTCAAAGGCTTGCTTGGTTAATTAATATATATATTAATATTGTATTTTATATAAGATATATAATTATATATAGCATAGATAATTATACATCTATATTATATTCATATATATGCTTCCCACATGCCAGTAACTAAGAGAAAACAAAAGAAAGAAATACGAAACATAAAAATAACTAAGAATCTGAAAAAACTAACAACCAAATTACAAATTTTACTGAGGTAAATGAAAGATACAGTCCTCTTCTCCCCCTGTCCTTTTTCTTCTCTGAACCATGAAGTGGAAGTCATTGGGTAAAATAGAGCACATTGGCATGTGGGTGTGGCCTAGAGCTTGGAGTGATTGCCTGTGCAGGGTAAGAGCAGCATGAGAGAGAGGGGACCAGCAAAGTGAGAAAGCATAAACAAAAGGCAAGTTCTTAGAGCCTGACAGGATGACAAGGGTATTCCTACAGGAGAGCAGACCAACCAAAATTCCAAACCTTAGGTGGGGGGGAGGGCGGGGTGACAAGGTAAGGGGCCTAGAAGAGCCGACAGTGGCAGCAACTGGATATTGTCTGTGTGGACAGAATCATTAATCAAATCAATACATATCAAGAAGAATGAAAACTATAGTTCACAAACCAGTTTAAAAGCTGCAGACCTATGCAGAAAGAAAACTAAAATGCATTGGGCAGTGTTTAGTTAACATTTGAGATATCTGTGTGTCATTATTGTTTTAATAGAATAAAGTCATATTATTTAATGAACATATGTGAAAATGGAACTAGGTAAATTGAGGAGATGGATGGGTTGGGAGAAATGGGGAACATGATGGAAGGGGTGACATTGATCAAGGTACACTGTACTCACAAAGTGACATGCTGAATTGAAACCCCTTTGTACAACCACATAAACATAATAAAAACTAAATTTACAAAGAGATACATAGAACTGTGATCAGATGTAAATATGAATGGATATATATCCCCTTGTTCTAGTCCAGAAACCCTAGTAATTAGGTTACTCACCTCCCAAGTATTGGCTTTTCATATCACTTACTTCTAGAAGGTATAAGGAAATCATAAACAAATAACATGGGAAAAAAATTTAGAGGACCTTGGATTTGATAACTACTTTATTAGATAAAATATCAAAAGAGTAACCCATGAAAAAATAATGGCAAATGGACTTCCTTAAAATTCACAAATCTGTTCTGCAGAGGCAAGATAGGTCATATATCGGAAGAAAATATCTATGAGAGACATAAGAAAATATCTATTATTTGATAAAATATGATATGATAAAATATCAAAAACTATTATCCAAAACATACAAAGAATTCTTAAAAGTCAACAATAAGAAAAGTAGCAACCAAAGACTAGTGGAAGAACTCTGGAAAGTACTTAGCTATTATCCACAAGGCACAAAGCCAAAGTTCAAGGCCCAGGAACACAAGAAACAAAGAAACACACAGAGAGCTTCAGCAATGGGCAAGCAAACTGAATAAGAGTACAAGGTCCTGAGTTTAAGCCCTAGTATTTGACAAAAAAGGGGAGAAGAGAGGAAGAGAAGGAGGGATGGGGTAGGAGAGAGTGAGAGAGAGGATAAAATGAAGAAACAGAGACAAAACTAAACAAGGTTAAAAAATCACTAACATCCTTAAGCTGTAATCCTGGCTACCTTGGAGGCTGAGATCTGGACAATCCAGTTCATAAACCAGCCCAAGCAAAAAGTTAACTAGATTTGATCTCCAAAATAACCAGTATAAAGCAGAGCTCAAGGAAAGGCTCAAGTGGCAGAGCCCTAACCTAACAATGCAAGGTCCTGAGTTCAAACCACCAAAAAAAAAAAAAAACCTTAAGTTTTTGATACCTTACCAAAGTAATTACACATATAAATGAAAACACAAACTACAAAAATGGAAATCACATATACAAATAAAAATTTTTTAAAACAAAAAACTGATAAATTGTCTACACATCCTAAATAAAATAATTATATATGTACAATAAATATTTTATATATTAAATATATGTCTAGATTCAATAAGAAAACCTGATCATTAAAAACAGATAATGAACCTCCTATTTGACCCAAGAGCCTTATTTTTTACTTTTTCTGTGAAAAAGTAAACCAAAAGCCAATTTTGAAAGAAGAAAGCAGGAATGCTGATTTGAAGATTGGGACAGGGAAAAGCACGAGGCCAGTTTGGAATATCTTCTTGTGATTGAAAGCACAATAACTCTGCTTGTGTGATCAGCATGTCAAGAGGTCACGTGATATTTATGGAGTTGTAACAGTGAAATCTTCCCCTGTGTAACATAAGCCAATAAGGAAAAAAAAAAAAACACGTGATCTGCCTGAAAGTATTCCTAATGTTCAAATAAGGGCAAAGTTGAGCAGGAGAGAATAAAACCTGCTGTAATCCTAGCTACTCAGGAGGCAGAGACCTGAGGATCATGGTTCAAAGCCAACCCGGGAAAGGAAAGTCTATGAGACTCTTATCTCTAATTAGCCACCAGAAAGCCTGAAGTGGTGCTGTGGCTCAAGTGGTAAAGCCCTAGCCTTGAGCTAAAGAGCTCAGGGACAGTGCACAGACCCAGAGTTCAAGCTCCATGACCAACAAAAAATAAATAAATAAAAATAAAAAAGCATGGGTATTTGTTGTAACCCACTAAAATTGATCAATGACAATT